CCCTGAAGGTTCTCAAGAAATCCTTACTATTCCCTTAACTACCTAGAAGAATGCGTGCGTAATTGTGATGTCTTGACAGAATTAGGGTCATTACCAAAAATAACCTTTTGATCTTCATTTTATCTTTTCTTTCTCAGATTGCTCAAGTCTATGCAGGCTCCTGTACATATGAAATTAAATATTTCTCCTACCAACAAGTGTGTCTGATATTATAATTTGTAATCAACTGGATGAATCCAGATGAGTATGGAGGATATCTCCTGTTGTCCCCAATAGTATACAATAGCTTTATACTTTCACCTATTTCCATCACTAAAATTGTAGTATTAGCCAAAACCAAGGACAGTATTATTTTAATTATAGTCAATTAATGTAACTTATATTGAGTTATTTATAAGAAATATAACATTTTGCCCAACAGAGATGCCCCCCAGAAAAATATGAACAGATTTCTAAACACAGCTATTAAACTGAACTGTATTAAACACAGTTTAATAGCAGTATTAAACACAGTTTAATCTAAACACAGCTATTAAACTGAAAGTATTTTAAAAATGCAAATACTCAGATGCCATTTAAGTTTCTGATAATTTTGTTTGCACTTCAGAAAACATAAGTTTCCATATACAGAACTTACCTAAATCAAACACATGTACTTTTACATTTAAACAGTCGTAGGCACCGCACAATATATTTAAACTATGGCAAATATGAAATTCTTATTTAGAGCAAACACAAAGACATCTCTGTAACATCTCTCATTCTACAATAAGAACTAAACAATGACAATTTGATAAGGGAGTCATGAAATTACAATGTTCTAAACAGGCTCATCAGATTTCCTTTACACTTGTAAAATCATTTCCTAACCTTTTCAGAAATATTTATAAATAATTTAGTTTTATAATATATTTCACCTCTACTTCCTGAAAGCGCCACGTGAACTAAATTTTTTCAAACTACTACTTGAGATATTTTAATATAATCATGGAGATGAATGTACGCCAACTTCTAAAACATAAAGCATGATTTTTAGTCTAGTAGACAAAAAAAAGTTGTATCAAGCTCTAACACACCATACTTGCACTCAAAGTAATCAGAAAGTTGAAGCTTCAATAATCAAGCATATCAATATGGAAAATGCATCAAAGAGACCAAAACACCCACTAAGGACTAGTGTGTACTATAACCCTGGTCCTTTCCTTATGTAGTTTTTCATACATGAAACAGCTCTATGAAGTAATGTTACAATGAATACACAGATGAAAAAACAAAGGTTCTCTAAGTTAATTTACTGAAGGTCACACAGATGGCATAAGGTCTAATGAAAAACTAATTACTAGCCATGTAATGTTAGCTATAAAACATTAAACATAATTTTTCAAAGGAAAATATTAATGACAATAAAAAAAGAAAAATCAAGCTACCAATTTTGAATTCTAACAGTGTGGAAAATGAGAACTTATTCTTGAACTACAAGTTAAAAAAAACAAACAGTATTCCATAATTTCAATTAGTCCCTGGAAAGAATAAATGGTACTCATAATACCCGAGTTTCATTTACAGAAATTAATTATAAAACACCTACCACTTCACTATATGTGCATGTCTATAAATTATATATAGATATAAAATATTCATGATTTTTCAAAGACAAAGTGTTATTCTGTATTGTCAAACAGCCCTTTACTAGATACTCTTCCAAAGAACCTAATATCATTCAACCAGTTGGACGTTATGAGCACTTCCTTTATAGACAAAGCTCAAAAATTCTAATTTCCTAATTTTGCAGAGAATAAAATGGAATCTGGAACTTTAATGAGGTTTACAAGTTCTAAGGTAATAGATGCTGAGTATTATAGCTCATGATAATAAAGGTTTTAATAGAGAGAAGTACTGAACCAAGTCAATTCTGTTTCTCTAGAACATAATCACAAACAAAATTATGTCCTTAAATTATGTCCTCCTAAAAAAGATGATTCTGGTCAACTAAAAATATACCCATTTCATGGGGTAAACATAAACCCAATTTTTTTGGTAAAGTCAGACACTTTCAGTCATCTTTAAAAATAAAAGCTTTAAAAATCTATTACTTAAAACTGTATAGAATTAAATTATTTAAGTGAAAAAAAAAAAACCAAACTCCTTTCAACTACTACTTAATGAAAGATCCCCTGTTAATAGCAGAATTTCTTCCTTTGGCACATACAATAAACTTTCAACTCGTATGTTAGTCAAAATGTTAAAGGTAAAATCTCACAGCTAACAGCAAAACTTGCTGGGCCCTAAAATCATTTAAAATAATTTACAACTTGTTTTTGTGTTTCTGATAAATACAGTTAAGATGAAGTTAAACCCTTAAGATAAGGTGTTTCCTGAAAGTCTAAGTATTCACTGGCAGGTTTTAAGACACTCATTGTCATTACAAAACTGTTTTCTTCCACACCTTCTCATGTTTATGAATTAGAAGCAGTTATCATTTTTTAAAGTGCATAAAAATAAATGCATAAATCTTCAAAACATAATGTCAAGTCTTTTCAAGATGAATTCAAGAAACTTCCACCTATTGTCTCATATTTAGAATTTTCCCTTCTGGAAAAGAGTTAGACTTTTCTGTTTGATTAATAATTAGTTATTAATCTTTCCTGCCACTTGAACAAAGGAGTTGGAAAAATTTGAAGACTTTTTTCAAAGACATATGTTTTTTCCTAAAAGGTAAATCACTTTTAGGATGTAAACTGTTAAGTGAAATTTCTCAAGCAGTTAGCACTGATGTCATAAAAGCACATCTTATTTTTTAAATGGCATCCTTTAATTAGAAAAAATATTCAATTATGTATTTTACTTCTAATTTAGGACTGGGAAGTTGTTTTATAGTCTGTTCAAAGTATTCAAGCTATCAGTGATGTTATATAAATATATATGGGAAAAGTGGGTGCTACACAATAATAATCTGTTTTAACAGGAAATTAATTAAGGTATTATTTCTGCTACCCCTCCGCTACCAAACACCAGACTTGAAATCTCTAAACTCATTCATTTATTCAACCATTTATCTTTTGAGCCCTTCTATGTAGAAAGATGAAAAACTAGTTCTATTTGACTTCTCTCATTCCCTCATTCCTAAAAATCCCATCAAAATAGATGTATTCTACTCTGCCCTTTCTAAATGTCCCCAGTCTGGGTAACAACCTCAATAATTTATTTAAAATATTAACCACTGCTAAGTAAAAATTAATTTCAATACTAATCACTGAACATGCATCAAATGTAAAATTTTGGACTCAATAAAGCTAGTGTCTAACATTAAAAAACTAAATATTTTTGGCCCTCCCTGGTGGTGCAGCAGGTTAAAGCACAGCACTAAGAAGCTAAAGCCACTTCTGTATGAGTTCGATCCCCGCCTGTCCCGGAGATGACCACATGGTGCCGGGCAGGCCTCTCCTGACCTGCCCGCTGCTCCCCTGAGCAATGTACTTCGTTGACCTGCCTGTTCTGCTCCCCACTCTGTCTTTGGTGAATCCTCTCACTCTGCATTTCTGGCTTGTACCCCAGTTCTGAATGAAGAAATAAATAAACCTTTAAAAAAAAAAAAAACTAAATTTTTTTAGTAAAAGAAAAACACAAGGACGCAAAACTGTACAAATATAAGTATAGTAATGTGGAAAACAAAAGAATCTGTCAAGGAAAAAGATAGAGTAAATGGCTAAAATACTAGGAATCATCAGTTAAGATGGCTATTTTACATTTTGCCAATTTCCTATGATAACCAGATATTACTTTAAAAGAAAATGTAAATGGCCTTTATTTTAAAAACTTACTGTTCTGGATAAATAGCAACTATTTCTGAGATTCAAAAGTAAATAACTAGAAATATTCAAAATAAACATTTATGCAATTGCTTGAATCCTTTAATCTAGAAGTTCTTTAAAAACCAGAGACTACCATTCTCATTACAGTATTTCCATATGCCTAGAAACCTCTCCTCTTCAATGTGCCCATGAAACACCAGTTATCTTTCACAAAATAAACCTCTCTCTTACCAACTATTTCCCAGCTTACAAAATTTTAAAGACTTTTTAAACCTTTCTAAAACCAGACTGTTATTTTTCTTCAAAGGCATCACAGATTTGTCCTTTCCTTTCCAAAACTACTAGTACCTGTACATTCTTTTTGTAGGCATCGATCCTAAATACGCTCAATACATAATGAACCATTTGACAGTAAGGTTTTTTGACCAAGTTAGCAAATATGAACTACAAAGTTTCATTACGAGAAACACTGCAGGTTTTGGCTAATAATGTAGTTTACCCATCATCACCTACCATGCCAAATTTTGCTGTCTTTCCTTTTTCAGGTCTAAGTTCAGTTATTCTGAAACCCTAACTTTCCTATACAACCAAACTTAAACCTAAACTCAATTCAACCATTCCCAAGCCATTAATTCTGTAGGTGTTCAAAGTTCATAGTTTTTTTTTTTAATTATTTATTTATGTATACAAGAACTGGGACTTAGGCAGAGATGCAGGGCATGAGAGGATTCACCAGAGACAGAGTAGGGAGAAGAACAGGTGGAACTACTGAAATACACTGTTGAGGGGGGCAGTGAGTGAGACATAGGAGGTCTACACTGCCAAGTGGGTCAGCTCCTATTGCAGTGGCTAGGGTGTGGGGACAGGGGAACTTCATAAGCTAAGAATCCTTGTGCCACCAGTGAGGCCCCGAGGTTCATAGTTTTAACAATCTAGAGAACCTTGAGGTAAGTACGAATTTTATATAACATGAGTTAATATATTAAATGGACACAAGTTCTTTCATTCACTATAGGTTAATAACTGCTGGAAAGTTGGCATAGCAAGACAGACAAAAGGGGAAAGTATTTCTATTAGGAGTATTTGTTGACTTTCCAAGAAAATCCAGAAATGTTTGTGAACATCTTTTTAATTAAATGTTAATAAATCTAAATATAAGCTAATATATTATTTATAATTTTAAGTTACCTGAGGCTTGCCTGCCCTGATTTTGTGGTGTTCTTTGGAAAAGATCATGATTGTATTCAAAATATCTATAGTCTTCATGTGTACGCTCTCCAAGTGGACGTCTTCTCTGACCATCAAAATAATTATCTGAATAATAGTATCGGGAACCAGAGTCTCCATTTTCAACAGGAAAATTAACTTCTGTTAAAAATGACTGAGAAGAGCCATATTCTCGAGGGACATCTGTTAGACTCCTGGCAAGATAAGAAGGTGCAGATAATCTGTTGCTTTCTCTTCTCATTATTTCATGAGGTGTTCTTTGAATTGGAGTCCTAAGGAAACTCTGGTTTCTTGAACCTATTCCATCTCCAGAAGATGAAAAAGCATTAGGGCTTGAATCTGGAAGACAAATATCAGTTCGTCTTGGAATTGTTGGACCGTGCCGGATGAATGAAGGCATGAGATCTATAATAGAACAAAAAACAGAATGAACATTTCTATAAATACTACTTCTCAAAAATTTTTTCATTTACCTCTATTATACCAACACACAAAATTTCAACAAACTTAATTAACAAAGCACAATTTAAGTATTTTAAAATAGTAGTTTTTAAATTAAGGTTGATTAATATTTACCCATTCAATGAATTTATAACTAGCATGAATATGCTATTTGTAAGCCAGAATCAAATGTATTCTGCATATTACCAGACATTGATGTGATGAAATGGCAATAATAAGATTATATATGAATGCTTAAGAGTAATATGTAGAAATAACAATCTATCAAATGAAGTTACCTGTATAATTTATTAGAGTATAGTTTGTTTTGTTGATTTCACTCAATCTTCAAAACTGTCAAAAATCCTTTTTCAAGTAAACAATTTGAAAGCAAAAGCAGAAGTATAATGCTAGTGCCAAATATGTAAAGGTGGAGTCCTTTAAAAAACTTAAAAATTACCCAGTCTTCCTACCCTTGGATTTACACAGCACTAGTAAAATAATCGAAATTTATAATACTGGTTTATAATAAATTAAGAATTTAGGTATAAAAATTTTAAAAGATCTCATGTCGTAAGGGCACACATATATTGAATCAGTTAAAAAAAACACTAAACTTGAAACTGCGGCTCCTTTAAATACAAGTAATTATAACTCAAAACAGAAGATAACAGTAGAACAATGGCTTTCAGGATATAGTACTTATGAAAACAGAACTTGAAAATGGTTTAGACATTCCTGGTTAGAAAGAAAAATACCATGAAGAAAACTGGATTTGGAGACAGTTTTATTATTTCATGAAGTTAACAAACCCCACATACTAATAAACTTCAGAATGTACTACACAGAAATATTTAATAATGCTCAACACTTAATGAAACTAAAAGTGATTTACTCAAAGGTGTGGCAAATATTTAATGATGTCAATGTTTAACAAACTTTATTTTCAGCAAGCTGTCATAAACTTAACCTAAGAGCAATCATAACTGAAAACAGTTAAAAGTTAAAAAAAAAAAGTTTAAAAATCCAGTTTCAGGTTACAAATGTACCCATCTATCGATTTTTTTTCTATGAGAAAGTACAGCAGATACAAGGATAAACCTCGAAGTCTGATAATGTGGTTGTAAGAGGAAAACATGCTCCCTTTCTGTGTGATCCTGGGCAAAAACTAGGAACTTTTAAGAACGGTTTTCCCAATTAAAATATGAGGTAATGCTTAAGTCATAAGATTACTACAAGCTTCCAAAGAAGGAAGCTTACCTAAAGGACCCTGCATGCAGTATTACCAAAATATTAGCTCCTTAAAGGTACAAATGTTTTGAACCCTAAGCAAAAATTCAAAATTCAAAAAGACTTGGCTGGAAAAATCAAATACCTAAGTTGAAGAGCAGAAAAAGCAAAGGCATGGAGAGGGGGGAGCGAACTATATCCTAATAAAGTTTACATTTTGATAACTTCCTCTAAAAATATGGTATATTTTTTGAGTACTCTTGCTGTTTTAGACGGGGTGGGTTAGTGAAAGGAATTCACAAGCCTAATAAAAATGACTGACTCCTTCACTTAGGGACCTAAGAGGGATGAGGTTTTAGGTAGCGGCTCCAATAGCGACAGTGAACTTAACCTCGGGTTTGAGCAGCAAGGCTAGGGAATTCTGCAGTACAGTTTGCATACCTTCCAGCACAAGAGAGCGTCCCTAACACTGTTTGCAACACAAGGGTTATTCTCGACAGATGTAGAAGAGGAAAGCGTGCGGCCCATCTAATCACCTTTACTCCTATAGCATCAGGGGGTCAGCAACTCCAGGGTTTCCTAAAGTCTCTTTCTTCCAGTAACCAAAACCAACACCACCCTCCCAACAGGGAATGGGGAAGTATGTTATTTTTCGGGGGGCCCCACGGCGTTGAGGGATCCAATGCAAGTCTCTTACTCTCTATCGGCTTTCAAACAATGAACACCCCTTCAGGCGCGCGCGCGCGCACAGGCACGCACACACACACACCTTAAAACAGCATTTCACGAGACCAACACGGATGAGGAGCCGAGGGGCGCCTCATTGGGAGCCCCGCCCAGGACCCCGCGGCCGCCCCAGCCAGGTGTGGGTACTCCCTGCCCCACACTCACTCCGCAACAGAGGCGACGTCTCCTTCTTCACGTACTTGCCCTGCACCTCGGCCGGCTTGGACACTTCGTTTTTCGTTTTCTTTCGGGACAGCATCCTTGCGGACGAGGCACCAGGCCGCGCCAATCTGTCTCCTAGGGCTCCACGCCGGGCGCCGGCCGTCCCCGCCGCCACCTCCGCCGGCGCCGCCGCCTCCGTGCCTCCCGAGCCGCCGCCGCCGCCTCTCCGCCGCCCGTCGTCCGCAGGGACTGCCGCATGTTCGCGGCGCTAAGCGCGCCGGCCGCCGCTCAGTCGCATGTCAGTTCCTTCCCGGAAGTCTGCCCGCTCCGAGACGCCGCCCGAGACTGTGGGAAGAGGCCAGGGACGCCCGGCCAGGGCCATGGTCAGCCGCCCGCCGCCTAGTAACCGCTACCACCGCCGCCGCCTACGTCCCGTAAACTTTCCCTGCGGCCGCTGGGAATTCTGGGAAAGTCGACGCTGCGCCGAGCCGCCTCCTCCCCTCCCCCAGCCGGGCCCCGGGCGCGGCTCGCGCTGCGGGACTCCGGCCACCGTCTCGCAGCTAACGGGCCGGAGGCCCTGGTTTGCGGGGGAGCAGCGGCCCCCTTCACTGCTCCGGAGAAGCAGGTATCGCGGAAACGAGAGGACGGACCCCTCTTCCCACAGATTTTTTTTCTCCCTTCCCTCGGGACCTTGAGAGAGCAGGTGACGCCCGGTCCCCCGCCCGGTCCCCCTTTGCCTTCGGGTTGTCCTCTAAGAGTGAGGAAGTCTTTCTTTGACTGGCAAATTCAGATTTCTGATAACAAATTGTGAGTGGTGTTGGAGAACCACAACCCTAGGCTAGTGCCGCACCCAGAAAACATACATGCCTGTTTTGGGCATTTAATATTGAACACAGGGATTCGTTTAATACACACTAAACAACTATAAACCGTCTCTGTATGCCAGTAGTGTTTCTTCCTAATAAAGGTAACACGGGGGGGAGAAAGGAAAATGGAGATAAACTTGATGTCAGCATATTATTTTTTTTTTATCATTATTCACATTAATAGCCACATACATCCTCTTAGAATTTTGAGGATTTTGAGCACTGAAGGTCAAGACCTTTTAATCTAAAATAAGCCTTTGTATTACTTAGCAGAACTGCCAGAGGTAGAGGGTAATGTTTAGAAAGGAAGATGGGGCCCATCCCTTGGTGACCAAATGATGGCTTTGATTAATGGAGAACGCTGTTCCTGAAATTGAACACATTGTACTACAAGAGATGTAAAACAACATAAGGCAAGGAGTTTTTTGCCACATAAGATTAGGAAGATAGTTGAATTTTGTTTTACCATAAGCAGGCAAACACAGCAGTTTACCTAGCATCTGTCTCTGTTTTTGCATGCTGTTGTCCCTTGGTACAGATCTCGCACAATTCAATAATTCACAAATATTTAATGGGTACCCACTGTAAGGGGCACTCTTCTAGATGCTCTAGATGTAGCAATAAGTAAGACAGAGGAGACTCACTCCCTCTTTTTGGGATGGGGTGGAGGGGAAGAGATGCAATAAAGAAGAAAAACAAACATACTGTGTTACATAATGGTAAATGCTCAGTGCAAATACAATGACAGGGTCTGTAATTGTAGACAGTGATAGAATGACTAGAAAAGAACTCATGAGCAGGAGATATCCCAGTTACTTGACAAGGTGGGAAAAACTGACATTGTGGTTATTTGAAGGAGTGTTCCAGACAGAAAGAACAAGTGCAGACTCACAATTAGATCTGAGAACCTGTAGGAAGATCTACATAGCAGAGGAGAGTAATGGAAAGTGAAGTTAACAATTATTAGGGAACAGACCTTGGTTGTAGGGAATTTCAATTTAAGCAGAGGAGAAGCATGATACAATGATACTTTGGTGGTATTGCTTTGGATACTTTATTGAAAATAGACTAATTGGGAACAAGAGCAAAAGCTGGAAGATCAGTCAGAAGCTATTGCTGCTTAGACTCCAGGTAACAGCAGTGAAGATGAGAAATAGTCAGATTTGAGTCACATATTTTAAAGACACCCAACAGGACTTACTGACAGATTGAATTGGAGATGAAAGAGAAATCAAGGAGCACTCATGTGGATGTATAAATCTTAACCAAAGAACAGAATGGAGCTCAATAGATTAACAGATTTTACTAAGAGAAAAAATAGAAAAGCAGTTGCTTGTTCCTGCGGTTCACATAAAACAGTCACACTCAGTGGTCCACAGTGGAAGTGATGAAACAAATGAAGAGACAATGGGGTTTTGTCACAAGTAGGGAATGGAGGCGGTGGATGGAGAGAAGGGGTGCCAAGAAGTGCCAGTTTTCTGCCTAGAGCTTACTTCAGCAGAATAAGAGAATAAAAGGATCTTAGGACCTTGTTAATAAAGCCAGCTCTTCACACCTGGTGTTTTTCCAGAGACTGAAATACAAGATATCTTTCACATTAGTGGTGGAATCAGAATTTTGTGTTTGATAAAGAATTCTGAGATCATATAGGCTAATTTCATTTTATTCATACAGAAAAAAAGATGTAGGAAACAAGTATTTTGCCTCAGATATATCCTAGTCACTAACGAGGGGTTGCTATCAGAATTGATCTTCTATTCCATTTTGGGTCCTTTTCTTTTACAGCATATTAGATTCCCACTAATGTGAGTCCAGACCTTTTAACAATTGTTTTGAAAGCCACCCTGCTCCCTACACAATACTCCTTTTTTCATGCTATTTCAACACTTAGAATTACAGCAGAGAGAAAGCCTCACTTAGATGCCTTTTCAAGAGCTATGATTTGCCTTTTTATCAAGGAAGGTACACTCTAGAATCATCAGACTGCAGGCAGCTTCACCAACAAGGCATAGCAAATGTGTATACCTGAAATCCACCTTCATGAGTCCAGACACTTCAAATTCATTTCTGTTTCCTAAAAATGTCTGGACTCTGGCTCCTATTTTAAATTAAGAAATTCAAATTTTATAGCTATAATTTTTCTGACATTCTTTTTAATGAAGCTAATACTATCTTACATAGAGATAATTTTTCTCTTGCAGTTATTTTCATTGGAGAAATTAATCAAGGACTTACTCATGTGTTATCAACATTATTACTATTTAGCATTAAAATTTCTTTTAAAGGTGGCAGTAAAGTCTGTGTTAACCTCATTACTCTTTGGATGGTAGTTTTCTCATGAAAATGAAACAAAACTTGGATTAGTTGATTTTCAAAGTGTCTTTCAGCTTTACATTTTTGTGTCACTTAGGTAAAAGGAGATATACAAAAATAAAAAGTTACCCTAGTTAGGTAATAGGCACATTGATTTCTCATCTTAAAATTTTTGCATTATGTTTTAATTTTAAAAAGTTACAAAGAGGGCTGGCCCACTTTGGTGGAGCAGAGGATTAAAGTGCAGCACTTCAAAGCTGGCCCCACCACTGCATCATGAGTTTGGTCCCCTGCCAGGGAGGTGACCCACATGGCACCTCATATCTATTGTTCCCCTCAGCAGTGTACTTCATCAATTTGCCTATTTTGCTCCCCACGTTACGTTGTCTCTGATGAATCCTCTCACCACTCCAGCACCTGTGGTTTGTACCCAGAGGTTCTTGTATGCATAAATAAATAAATATTTTTAAAAAATAAATAAAAATAAAAAGTTATAAAGAATATTAAAATACAGCACTATGTAAAACCATCACTAGCAAAAAAATAAATAAATAAATTTCATGGCAGTTACTACTTTCAAAGATAGCCAAGTTTCTTAAATTATTGTAAGCTATCTAAGGTTTATCTTGCTAGATGCATTTTGAGAAACCTCTATACTGCCCATAAGGACTAGATCAGTATATTCCCATCAATAGTATATGAGGACTTCTTTTTCTCCACACTCTTGCCAACTTTGGTTGTTTCTAGTCTTTTTAATGGGCCATTTTCATAGGAGGAGGTGGTATTGTTTGATGATGATAAGTAATGTTGAACATTTTTTTTATGTGCTTTTGGTTATCTATAAATCTTATTTGGAGATGTGTCATTTTGCTCTTCTGTCCATTTTTTTTTGATTGAGTTGTCTGTTTTCTTTTTATTCAATGTATATATTTTTTGTAGACCTTGGACATTAGGTTCTTGTCAGATGTATAATACACAAATGCCTACTCTTATTTGGGTGTTGTTTTGTTTTAATGAAAGTGTCTTTTGCTGTGCAGAAACTGTTTAGTCTGATGTAGTGCTTTTTTTTTTTTTTAATTTTTCCTTTTGTTTTCCTTGTCATTGGAGTCAAGTTCCCAAAGACTTCTCTGAAACCAAATAGGAGTGTTTTGCCTGTTTTCCGGTTTTAGGTCTTACATCCAAGTTTTTAATACACTTTGAGTGAATTTTTGTGTATTGGTACGAAAGATTAGATCTAGTATTTTGCATGTAACTGTCCAGTTTTCCCAATGCCATTTGTTTAAGAGACTTTCCTTTCTCTGTTGTGTACTTTTGGTTCCTTTGTCATAGACTGTTTATATATGTGTGGGTTTATTTCTGGGCTCTTAATTCTATTCCATTGTTCTATATGTCTAGTTTTATTGCAATACCATACTGTTTTGATTATTATAGCTTTATAGTATCATTTGAAGTCTGGGGTATGATACCTCCATTCCTTTCTCTCAGGATTGCTTTGGCTATTCATGGTCTTTTGTGGTTCCATCACTCTCTCACTAATGCTTGCTTTATTTCTTTGAAGAATATCATTAAAACTTTGATAGGTATTGCACTGAACCTATATTTTGCTTTGTGTATGATGGCCATTTAAAAAATGTTAGTTCTACCAGTCCAGAAGCACATAAAATTTTAAAGAGTTAATTATATAATATAAGATTGTACAAGAAAATGCCTGGGAGGGGAAATTCCTGAATACCCTTTCAGGCAGAAGCTTCAGTTCTTTTCTATGAAGAATAAGCATATGCAGTGTCTAATACAGAAAATACAGTATTGGCAACTGTGTTGGGTTTCTAAACTCCTATAGAGCCTGATAAATCATCCCTTCAAATAATGTAGAAAATTATTTTTATAAGTTTAATTAAAGGGAAGCATGCTGGGAGATTTGATGTCCCTAAATTTAGCTCATGTATATACATATACATATACATATATATTAATTTATCCTCCTGCCCCCACCCTGAGATTTAGATGTTCTCTAACTGAAAGTAGAATGTTCCTATTTGGTATAATTTGGGAATGCTATTTGGTATAATTTGAGAATGCTATTACTATTGATTTACATAGAGAAACATTTTAACTTCCCAAATCCTAAAAAATAACCTACCAAATAGGAACTTACTGCTTTCAAATGGGGAGCAGAGGGGCAGGCTCTATATAGATAAGTCTCAACAATTCTGGTAATTAGTTTTTAAAGAAATTTGACTTTGCTTTGCACTTTCCCATGCCAGTACATCTTTAAAAAT